CCTCGATGTCCTCCTGTGACTGCTGCTTCAATTGCACCCTCACCCGACAAACGCACAGCCCGCCGGTTTGCAGCCACAGCAGCAGCATTTGTGGATGACGGTGAGATAGCGCACCCAGCGGCTGAGCTATATTCACTTGCAGCCCTCCGCTGCCGGTACTCCTCTACCTCCGCTCAGGGATAGCAATGCGCACCTCCACCACGACCACTAGGACTTCCCGTCCCGCTGGTGCCAGCAGCAATATCCCGTGGGCCCAATGCTGCTCCAAGGGCGACGTCGCCGTCCACAGCGCTCATACCACATGGAGAGCCGCTGCCGGAAGCAGGTGCCGCCGAGACCCCAGCCCCTGCCGCATGTCCATGCTGCTGCGCCGTACTGCCACTCCAGGGGGCGAGGCTGCTTGCAGCAATGAGGTTGGCATTTGGGACTGCGGAAGAGGAGGGCGGCCAGCAGCCTGCAAGGATGACGTTGGCGTTAGTGGCGATGTTGGTGTTGCTAGCCGCGGAAGAGGAGGGCGGCCAGTAGGGCGACGGCAAGGGCGACAGCGCGGCATTAGCGGCATGACCGGAGTGGCTGACGGGTGACGCCCAAGGGCTGGGTAGCTGCTGGTGCGGTGGCGGTTGCTGCTCCTGCATGCAACGGTTGGTCAGGGAGTACGGCAACTGCGGCTGGGGGCGGGCGGTGCCGGTCGAGCACGAGTAGGCTGACGGCGGCGAATGGACAGAACTAGATCCGTAAGCGACTAGCAGGCTCGGTTTCTGCGGGTAGTTGTCGAAGCTGGGTTGGTAGCCGGCGTGGTGCTGAGGGTGCTGTTGCATAAGCGCCGCGGGCGGTGGCAGCAGCGGCTGCGGCAGACCGTGGATGCTATAATGCTGCTGCTGGGAATAGGAGTGATGATGGGGGTGAGGATGGGAAAGCGGTGGCGCGTGGATCGCATGCGGCTGGTAAATCGCGCCGCTTTCATGACCGGCAGGCGCCATAGGCGGTCCATGCACGTTGGGGAAGGAAGGCCGCCGTTGCGCCTGCCCCTGCTGTTCCTGCCCTTGCTGCGGCTGTTGCTGGGCGACAAGCGCCTCAGGACCGGAAGCGGGGTTGCGGCGCCACAACGACCAAGGCCACCACTTCGAAAGACCTCCGCTGCCGCTCCCGCTGTTGTCCGTGTTACCTCCCTTGCCAGCGGTGCTGCTGCCACCGCTACCCATGCGATTCGGCAGGCCTGCCGCTGCCACCGCAATGTCTGCCTCACTGGCAGATATCGCCGCACGACCACGTAGCCCCCCGCCCCGGCCCGCACCACAGCCTCCGGCGCCACCGCGGGCAGTAAACACGTTGCCGACGCCATGCATGCCTTCAACTTCGCTGCGACCGCGCTCAGCGCTCGCCGCAGCTGTTGGGCAAGCAGGAATCACCAGCGGTATCGGCACGGACGCCGAACAGCCTCTCCGCCCCCCGCTAGCGTTGCTAACGCCGCTTTCCTCCAAGCTGCTTTTGGGAGCGGCTGGCCGTCGACTGGGGCCTGCGGCCACCATCTCCAAGCAGGCGGGCGCGAAGGTTTCTAAAGGGTTATATCGTATTCGGTCGTCGCCACCGCTGCTTGCCGCAACGAAGGGGCTAATAGGGCCGCTGGCACTGCCGCCGCTGGCGTGCTTGCGACTGTCTCCACCACAAGCCGTAGCCTGCGTCGCACTGAGGGCAACGGCTCTGCCGCTGGGGGCTCCCTCGCCGTTGCGGCCGCCCGTACCTGTATCCGCTGCCCCAGTTGTGACGGCGCTCTCACGCGTCTTTTCCGCATGGCCTCGCTTCCGACGAGCCCTGGGTGCCGCCGCTGAGGAGCTTTCCTGACCCGTACTCTCGTACTCCAAGCTCCCTGTGTCAGGTGCAAGGTCGCAGCGGTCCTTCCTCAGCCACCTGGGAGCAGCTGTCTCCGCATCCCACTCCTCCGCGGCGGTCGCTGCAGCGGCGGCATCGGGTGGCCGCTCCGCCGCCGTCGGCTCCACAGGCGCAAACGGTGTCTGTGCTGTCGGTGTCGAAGATGCAGCGGAAGCGAAATCCTCTGCTAGTACTGGAAGCGTGCTTCGCTTGTTTTGCAGTTCAGCGGTATTCAATGACTGGGGCGAGGGTTGAGGCGTTGGCAGCGGCGCCGCCGCCGCGGCCTCCAAAGGCGGCGGCGTCGCTGCCGCCGGTTCTACCGGCGCTGCCGCGGTCGGTTCACGGCGGCCGCCGCTACCGCCAGTGACGGCGCCGAAGACTGACGCTGCCATCTGGGCCAAGGAAAGACTCAGATGCCCGGCATGCGAGGGATTTGGCCGCTGAGGTGACTGCTGCTGTGGCAGTGACGGCGTTGGCGACGGCACCGCTGATGCAGCCGCTGATGCCCCCGTTCCCAGAGAGGATCGTGTCACCGGCGGCGGTGGCGGATGCGTCGTTTCGCTGCCCTCCGCCGGCGGCGGAAGTGTCGCTGACGGCGACGGCGGTTGACTTGGCGCCTGCGCCGCTTGCGACGACAATCGGGGTCGGCTGCCGCCACGAGCGGCCGCCCGGGCTGCCCGACTGGCCCGCTCCACCGCTATCAGCGCATCCAGACGTGCAAGGACCTGGAAGCGGCAAGCGGGTGAGTGGGCCAGGGTGGGGTATGACTGTATGAGGCATGGGAAGCAAGGCAAGGAAGCGGCGCGCCCAAGAAGAGTAACGCTGATACTTAGCCCCATGCGAGCATAAAAGTGGCGTACACGAAGCGTCACCTTTTGCCCCACTGTCAACTCGCACCGACACGGCCAGATCCACCACCGCCTCTCCCTCTTACGGTGCCTCACCTGTGCTGCCGTGGGCCTGGCCCGTGGGTCCTTTGCCCAGCACGTTTGGATAAGGTCTGCGAGACCCGTGGGAACCCATCCAGGCAGCTTTGGTCGGTCACCCAGAATTGCAACTGCTAGGATGATTCGGAACATTCCACCCACAGGAAGGCCGCCGACGCCGGCGTCGTCGACGCCCGCCGCAGCGGCGGCTGCGGCTGCGCCTCCCTGTGCGTCGCCCTTTGCGAAATTATCGAAAGGCCTCCGGCGAGTGAGCGCCTCGTACATGATGCAGCCTGGGGTCAGCGGTCAGGAAAGCGTAGGGTAGAGCTGTATGGGCCAGGTGCCGATGGGCAGGCCGGGGCCGCAACAACATGGTGCAAACCATGGAGAGCCTAGGGAGTCGGGAGCCTAGTTGCTTGTCGGAAGGACAAAGAAGCACTGGAAATAGGAGGTACCGGTATTGCGTGCTTCCAAGCCAGGATGACGGCTTTAAGGTGCCCCTCCACCCATCCATGACAACAGCCCTAACAGTGCAACAAGCCCCACTCACCCAAGCTGTAAATGTCAGCTCGCTCGTCCACCCGTGTGCCGTTAAACAGCTCCTGCATCGGTACAAGCGGGATGCAGCAGTAGTGGCATGCGGAGGAGGGCAGGAAGGTCACATCGGAGGAGCCAACAGCAGATGATGGCACGAGGCCAATGAGGGTATCAAAGGCGGGCAAACCCCATTGCGTAATGCCGCAATATGCTGCAACTTGCCAGCTCATAGACCGAGTGCATGGACATCACATGCAAGCAGGTGATAAGAAACCACTGAGTGATGACAGGGCAGCTCTGGCATGACGGATAACTAACGGCGTTCTGAGGAAGTACACGCAGTACTTGGCCTACAGCCATGCTTACCGGCGCCATGTAGTTGGGCTGCGGTGGATCGGCGAGCGGTGGGATCCGGCAAGGGGCACCCGGCAAGAGCGGTTGGAAGACAAGGACACAGAATGGGGCACACATGGTCGTTACCGTACGACTTGTGGATCAATAGACGACGGGGGCTTGCATAAGGTGCGCATGGTGACGGCAAGGCCTATAGGGGCATGGTTAACCGTTACATGACCAAGACCATGTCAAACGTGCCAAGGCTATCGCCCCCACGCACTAAGGACCGCCATACACGATACCGCACCCAGCGCTGCCTCTCACCGTGCCTCCCTGCTGCGTGACACTGACACAGGAGCGGTAGGGGTCCTGTGAAGAGGGCAGTGGCAAGGGTGGATGTTTCCCATGTCAGGGTTGAAACCTCTGTGTTGAAGACCGAACGACGGCGTGCACACGGTTGTCCTCCTCCAATGCCACGCCGCTGTATCTATAACGGTCATTCAAGCCGCTTCCAACCTCTAACAACCAGACGTTAGTCAACCCAGAGACTTAGCTAGTAAGTAGCCAACCATACAACCAAACGTCCGTCCAACCCCCTTCCGCACCCTGAGCCGGGAGATGCCAAAGTCAGCGATCTTGGCTCTGCCCCTGTTGTCTAGCAGTACGTTGCCCGGCTTGAGGTCTGTGAGGACGTGAAGGAGGTGCAGGGTGATGGCGAGCAAAAGCGCAGGGACCGTGCGGAAGGTACAGGAAGCTGGACGGCAGTCGAAACCCGCAGATTGCAAGGCATGGAGATCAGCGAGAGCACTCAATCCCACCGGCGTCACTGTCCCCTGCTGTCGCCCTTAGCCCACTGTCCCCGCCCCTTGCCTCACCCCTGTGCAGCACTCCGAAGCGGTGTATGAGCGCCAGACCCTCCGCCACGTCACGAGACAGCTGCGGAGGATGGTGGCGGAAAGGGGCGGATCCGGACAGGGAGCAGACTAAAGGACCGGCGTTCTGGCACCATGACAAAGTGCACTGACAACCTTTATTCGTGAAACCTGGCATTCACAAACACAATGCATGCTCACCCAATCAGCAGGTGTACGTGCGCACGTCCTCACCCGCATGACCAACCACCGCAGCCCCACCACTCCTCCTCTCCTCCCCACCGGCCCCCACCTGCAGCAATTCCAAGTAGTCCAGTCTCCTCATGTGCAAGTTGCTAATGCGATCGCCCAGGTTGCCCCCCTCGCAGAGCTCCATGATGAGAGCCGCATGCTGACCACCGCCACCCCTATGACCCGCCGACCGCGAGCCAACAGCAGCCGCATGGTGGGGTCGGGTGGGGTGGTTGGCGGGGTGGCCGCCACCGGCGCCGATGACCGCTCCCGCCAGGTCAGCACCTGAGGCGGTGGCGAAGGTGTCGTTGTCACTGCCGTTGCTGGTTGCGGGGCCGGCGGCAGTCGACATGGAGGAAGTGGGTGACTGGGCTGCCGCGGTGCCTGGGGGCTGTGCGGGGGTGACGGGAGCGGCGGCGGCTGGATTGATCCCGCCGTATTTACTCTCGTGCTCTACTCTCCCAGCCCCAGCAATGCTTGAGGAGCCTCCCCGCGGTGTCTGGCTGCCGGCAGGGGCCAGGGAGGCAGCCAGCAGCTGAACCACCCGCTCACAGTTCCTGCACGCGTGTAGGCATGGGCGGTCGGACTAACACTAAAGAGATACCTACATGCCAGCATGCGTGGCGTCCACCACTCCCTTCACCTTGCCACATCACGCATGCATGTGCACATCACACCCAGCCCATGCTGCTAAGCTATCTCACCTGAACCGAGCAGTCAGTTGGGCCTCTTTGGCTAGCGCCTGCCGTTGCTTCTCGTCCTCAATCACAACGGTCTTAACCGCCACCTTGCGACCTCGAAACGTGGCCTCGTACACCTGTGGAAGCAGCCGAGTAACCATAACGGGCCAAATGCCAAGGAACAGATCAGAATTAGCGTTCGCAACCAAGGAAGACCATGCTATGAAGGTAGCTGGCAACTGCCGGCAATCCATGGCAGCTGTCATCGCGCATCCCTTACGCTTCCGCCCACACATGCAGCCCCCAACCCATCCATGTCCAACCCACCCCGGCCCCTCCGCCATGCACCCCCTTCCAGCTCACCCTGCCGAAGCCGCCCACTCCAATCAGCCTCCCGAGGAAGGGCTCCACCTCCGTCTCGTAGTCCACATCCAGCTCGATGGGCGCCAGCGTCAGCGACACAGGCAGGTTCATGCCCGGCAACGTGGCGGGACCTGACGCAGCAGCGGCAGCAGCGGCGCCAGTTGCGGCGGCAGAGGCAGCGCCGCCGCCGCTCATCCCAGCGGCCCGGGCGGCCGCCACAGCAATTGCCCCGCCGCGAACCAGCGACGTCCGGGGGCTGAGGTGGGGAGGAGACCTAGCGGCAGCCGCCGCCGCCCGCATTTGCTGCCGGTGGTAATGCATGTACTGCGGCGACACGGGAGGTAGAGATGCCATTGCCGCCTCCCGCGGCGGCAGCGGAGGAGCGAGGTAACTTTCTCCAGGTTGTGGCGATCGGGCCTGCGTCTGCTGCTGCTGCTGATCCGGCAGTTGCTGTTGCAGTACGGCAGGCTCGGGCTGTAGCGGCGGCAGTAGCAGTTGCGCTGGGTATTCAGGCAGGAATTCCCAGGTCTCTGCGACGCGGCCGGTCCATGTCTTGGTCTTGCGACTGCAAACAGGGAACCAAGGAAAGAGGAAGTAATGACAAGAGTGGACTGGAATAGGTAAGGCCTTCGGAACTTATCGAGTCTCTGAAGCACTGGCAGGGGTCGCAACCCCCAGTAGCAACAGAAGTAACAGCAGAAGTACCCCTCATACTCCCACCCTTCCCGACCGTACACACCCCCCCCGGCACTCACACAAGGATCCGCTGCCTCAGGCTGTCGTCATCGAGTCCCGCCAGCGCCGCAACACGTGCCTCGCCCACCACCGCCAGCATGCCCTCCCCGCTCCCCCCTCCCTCGACTGCTCCTCCTGCCCCTGCCTCTGCGCTTCCTGCTGCACCCTCCTCCTCTCCCACTGCCGCAGCTGTCCCCGCCGCCACGGTTGCGGCTCCCTTGCTCGCCATCCGCGCCCGCAGTTCCTGACTGGTGGGTCGCGACAGCGCGGTGACTGCCGCCATGAAGGCCTCAGCCGGCACGGTGGGGTACTTGGGCAGCAGCCCCAGACCAAGCGGGCCACCCTTAGCAGGGAAGTTCTCCTGCCACCAGCCCGAGTTGAGCACATAACGAAGCTCGTCAGCTGTGAGGGGCGGATAGGAAGGTACCGGAGGGTAGGGTGTAACGTTGGGGCAGGTCGGGTTGGTTGAGCGGAGAGGCGTCATGCAAGCATACGTGGTGCGCTCCACATTCACTGCATTATGCGATTGCGTCCCAACGGAGCACACACCTACCCGCCGTCATGATACCTCGCCGCTATGGGGGTGCCACAGCAATGCCTAAGCAGCACCAACAGAACACAGCGCGCATGCACGTACCTTCGGACGGGCTGACACGGGCCGCTAGAGCTGGACTCAGCGGCGGGTAGGGGTACTGCTGGTGCGTCCCCATGAACTCGTACGGCACCAATCCTTGAACGTCATCGTAGCCTCCGCCGCCGCCACCGTTGCTGCTCCGGCTTTCCGTGCTGCCGGTATCGGATCTCCTTACTCCCGGCATCAACAACCCCATGTATCGTGACAAGCGGCGCTCGATACCTGGGAACCGCTCCTGTGCCAACTGCCGATGACTCCCTGCATGGTAATGGTGGCGGCGAGGACGGTGGGGGCCCGGCGCCGATGGCGGTGGCGGCGGCGGAGGGTGGTGACGGCGCCAGAGAAAGAACGCGGCCGCGGCGAGAAGTACGGCACCCGCGGCGCCGCTGAAGCCGCCAGCGAGTGCCGCTGCCTTCTTCTTGAGCTCATTGCCTCCGCCTCCGGAGGGGTTGGATGGGACGATCAGCTGCTTTTCGGGAAAGAAATTGTGGGAGTCATTCCCCGTCTCGTTATGCGAGTGACTTCCGTCCTCGGAGGGGTTCCTGTCAACCCAGTCTGACGGTATCGAAGTTACAACCGGCGTGTTGGCAACACAGCAGTACTGCATGCTGACAACGCAACTCTGCAAGCAGCCAAGGCGGCGGGTGAAACGAGATGGCATGGTGAGTAGAAGACTGTTACAATGGCCCCTCACAACGGAAACAAGGGCGATGAACCCAACCCGACACTGCAAGGGAAACGGAACAAGCCATGGCATGGTGTCGAAGCATGTCCTGAGCTTCCCTTTCAAGGCCGAAGATCATCAGAAAGCAATGGAGGGACTTCATCATCTACCGGACTTCGTCATCATCCCTGATCCCCTAGCCCAACCCAACCCACCCTTGTTCGATGTACCCACCAGTCCACCCTCCCTTGCTCTCTGGCAGCTGCTGCCTCTAGGCAGAGCAGCATTGATGTCGGAAACAGGAGTGTACTTCAGGAAATCATCTGAAGCGTTGGGGTAGAAGGCGGTTGGCGAACTGCCCCAGATGAGGAAGGGAGTGCCATACACAACAAGGTAGCCAGCGATACTGTGTACGGCGCGTAGTAACACGGTGCAAGTGAAGGGGCGTTAGTGAAGCAGGATTCCAGCTACTTAGCCACGTTGTCAACCGCGTGCAGAGAGCGGGGAGGTACCGTATCAAGGCCACTGCAGCCGGCCCAGAAGCTACATCCGAAACCGCACTGTATTGGATCAGCGATAGACACCGTGGCGCGTGAAGCCCACGCTACATATCAAGCGCTACCGTATTGCATGCATGTCCAGTCGCGGTTCGGCCGACTTGCTTCACCAAATTAAGCATGCAGGACCGGACCAGGTCCCTGTCGCATGTAGGAATACAAACAACACCCGAAGAAAACCCGACACCGACCCACGCCCGCGCCCATGCCTTCTTGCCCGCTGCCTCACCGGGGGTTGGGTAGGAAATCTCTGCGCACCACGTCCTGGGCATCACCGCCCGTAGTGCCTCCCGCTCCTCCGCTGGCAGCACTGGCAGTCGCATTGCGGCCCGGCACGGCGGCCGTCTGGCCTGAACGGTTAGCAGCCGCAGCAGTGCCATGCCTAGCTGCGGTGTCATCAGTAGAGGCGTCGGGGATCTTTCCGATAGCTTTGACAGGATTTGGCCGAATGGGCGTATCCATGAAGCTGTAATCCTGTCTGGGGTCCATAAGCTCGCCATTCAATGTTTGGAAGCCCACAGCCATGTCCACATAGTTTAGCAGTGGAGTGCCCTTGGGGACGTGCAGCCCCAAGATCGGGGTTTCCATATCCTGTTCTGCTGCTGCCGGGCCGCTGCCGTTGTTGCTGGCGTTCTGTGGCAGAAGCGCGCCTGAGCCCGGCGCAAAAAACAGGTTGAGGCTATAGCGGGCACCCCTCATGCTCCGCGGGTCTCGGGACACATTAAAGTATAGAGACGAGCAGCCGCCGGCTGTCAGGGAAGAGGGTATAGGCGGTTGGACGGTCATCCAGTTGGGTTACACACTGGGGCCACGGTGGTGTACGACAGTTAGTGCAGCCCCAACAAAAAATGACGCCGCGTCCGCGTCTAGTTTACCAGCCCGGCGGTGGGCTACCAGGCACCCCATGCAACAACGTACCTAGATTCTTGCTGATGTCATAGCACACGAACGAAAAGGACGGGGGAGCCGTAGCACCAGGGCCGCTCGAGTTGGTGCCGTTGGGACCCGCGTTGGGAGCCACACCAAGACCCAGGCTGCCTGCTGCCGTGACGTGGGCGCCACCGGCCCTAATGGGACCATTAAACCAGTACTCTATCTGCAAGCGGATGACACGGGTTGGAGATGAGGAGGGGCCGGAGCCTTCGAAAGGACACGGATACGCAGAAATAGGAATCAGGGAATGTGCGGACACGCATGTTAGGCGGTTATGGCAAAACATGGGTTCATATACGCATCAGCAGCCCCTCTTCACAGAGGTAGCCAAAACCTGCATATTGTATGGCATGCGCTCTAGATGCTCCCACACTTAGGTGGGCTTTGGTTCAACACACCCTCACCCCTGTCGCCGCAAAGCCAAGGCAACCCCCTCCGCTTGCCTTGTGCCACAAAACTAGCAGGGACGCTCAAGCCATACATCGCTGATCAACCAGGCCTTGAGGTCCTCTAAGCCGTGCCCTGCCTCCTTCCCAGACCTAGCCACACCCAGGGCTTAACCCGGACCACCTTCACTGTGTCGAGGGGTAGGACGATGCCGGGACTCAAGTTCGTAACCCTGCAGTATACGGCGCGTACGGCGGTGAAGCAGGCGTGGCATGGGCTGGGAGACGATGCATGGGGCACGTCAAAGTGCGCCAGTTGCCGTAACCTTATTTCCAACGCATAGGCTTCCTCTGGAGCTGCCCATGAATCAACCCAAAACCAACAGCGGGGGTCACCCAACATGCTCTTGAAGTATAAACGCAGCAGGGAAGAAGTGCACCGACGTTTGCAAGGCACTGGAGGCTTGGAGGAAACACGGCAGCAGCGCTGGACGTGCACCTAACATGTTGCTCTAGCCACGCACGTCTTTCAAGTCCATTCAAAGGTATAGCGCAGCACCCTCCTAACCAAAAATAGTTATACCTTATGTACAGCTGCGTAGAGTTGCTGATGAACATCTCTTTAGGCACAGAGCCGTCCGCTGTATCTTGGCTTGCGCCACTGTCGGCTGCAACGCCGGTATCGGCGTTGGTGACCGGGCGGCGGCGGTGAGTGATGGGCATGTAGTCCACCTGCATGCATGGGCACAAGCACACACGGACGAGCTTGCTGCTGACACAATGGCACGGCTCTGCGGAGCGCTTGCTTGGGCCTTGCGTTGCCGTTGCCCTAGCCCACAACGGACCCAGCATCACATCACATCACGATGGCCACTCCGCCGAAATTCCCCCCAACCCACCCTCGACCTCGCGCGCCTCGGTCTGACTTACGCACCTTAAACACCTTTGGTCCAGGCAAATTCTTTAGGAGCGGCACCGCAATCGGATCCGTTGTCTCCGTACTATCGCTGCTGGTGATATTTCCCTGGCCGCATGCATTCATCGGAGAGGGGTTAGCAACATAGCTCATCCGGCTGCCGTTCTTCATCTTCCACATCTCATCTATAAGACATGGCCTGCCATGCAATGGTTTATTCGCCACGGCCACCACACACACGTGCACGCACACACGCGGACTCGCGGCGTCAGCTGATGTAGCCGAAGCGGGGTTATTATCCAGCGCCCAATCTTCAACAGTAACAACAGCACCAGCCATATGCCTCCGAAGCAGCATTAAAAGACTATCCTTTCAGTTCCGCCCTTTTCCAGCTTTGAGGAAGCTGAAACCCCTTGTCCGTTAATCCTAATCTCATTTGACCTCCACCTGCAAACCTTCCATGTGCTCAGCACCTGCTGCCTGGCGTATGCTACATGTAGCGACCCACGGGTCAGCGCGCGGCCCATTGCCACCTACCCGGCTCGGGCGAAACGGGTAGTCCCTTGGGGTGCAGTTCATGTTGTTGAAGAACACCATTTCAGGAGCTGCCACCCTCAGCGGCGCCGACGCAGGACCACCGAACGCGGCAATGACGGGGTTGGAGGATGGGGGAGGTGCGGCTGGCCCCTTTCGGCCAACCCAGGTGAACGAAACGGGGGGGGCATTTGCCACGAGTGTGCCGTTGCCTGAGACAGGTGGGGAGTACCGGGAGACACCACTGGACATCGATCGGACCTAAACCTTTTAGAGGGGTGGGGACGTGGGGTTATGCAGAGAGGAGCATAGCCGCGTTAGGTTGCACGCTGCGATTGCGCGCTCGTACCGTAATCGTCAGGGCAAAACGAACCCGTACAAAACCGACTAGATGCCATTACGCCCAGCAGTGCAATGTAAAACGAAGCATA